CTGACGTTCATGCACTTGTGACGCACCCAGTGCATGATCCGCACGATTTGGGTCGTCACATTTGTTGTATTGATTGTTGATTGTGGGGTAGCCCTGTGGTTACTTCAGAAAATTGACCATTGCGGTCCGAAGCGCCATATTAAAGAAGCAAAATAACATTCATATCGTTTGTTTGATTTATCACTGTATACAAAGTGCTAATCGAAATCTACTTGATTTGGATCACTAGCTATATTTGTTTGGATCATTCAAAGTTTCTGTCTGCACATTTAGACAAAAAAATGTGCTTTTATATACGTTTTCTTACTGATAATATAACTACTTCAAACAATATGAGACTTCTTCTTGGTATATTTAAAGATAATCATATTTTTGTTCCATCTACCCCTCCATAAACATCTGTAGCAAGCGTTTTTCACGCATCTAATGGTCATTTTTCGACTAATCATCCACTGGAATGGACTGTTGACATTATTTCAATAAAACATTTATTGCAATGTTTGATATGTCATCAAACGTAAGCTATCGAATTCGACCACAAGGTCTTCTTTATAACTTGACAATTACATCAAATATGCACCTACACAACTTTTCCAGAACTATTTTAGGTTTGCGTAGAAAATATCCAGAAAGCTATCTTTGTTGTCATGACAGCTATACTTTTTTCGAGTATACATATAGCATTTAGGCCTAGTGCAATTAGTAAAATAATTTATTGACGTTACTTTGTGTTTACAACAGTACTGTACAATATTTTCTTCCCCAGATTCCTCTTACATTTCAACAATGACCCAGTCCGTAGGAGGTCCATGTGTCATATGCTCATCTTAGGCGTTTTATGCTCAATCGATGAGTGTGATACATATGTATTTATATAAATTATAGAAAAAGTAGTGTGGCCTCTTGGTAAGTTACTTAGGTACGAAGGAGAGTACAAATACATAGGCACCTGACGTTACTTATTGTTCTTTTAATAAAATAAATTATACCCCTATCTATAACATTTTGAACCTTTCGTGATAGTATCTTTTTAAACTTCTAATGGAAGCAACTGTAATGACGTTTTTATTTCGTTAATTTATATGTTTAGTTCCATTTTTTCATTCCGGAATAAAGGATGGCTCCAGCATAAATTTCTTCGGGAAACAGGAGGGGGTTACATTGTTGTCCTTAACACTAAAAGATCCCAACACAAAAATTCTATTTTATGGTTGGGGATGGGGTCGGTTGATTGGTGGACAAGCTACATTCTTCCATATATATTCTCATTTTTCCTATCAACTTATGACAGTCATTCATCAACAAAAACATACCAAATTAAGAATTTTAATTTCGCTCACCAATTTACATGTACTATTTTAAAATTTAAAACAATTTTAAAGATCGATTTCAACTCTTAGACTTTACATATACACAAGGTTTTGTTAATATTTAGTGGTGTAAACTGTATATATATATATATATATATATATATATATATATATATATATATATATATTCATTCAAAGTTTTGATTTGATAATTTAATGATTAAAACGCATTCAACTTCAAATCTTAATGCCGCTTCGTTCATTTACTAATTTCAATTCAGCCAAATAAGCGTTTAGAAGAGATTGCATGGAATATTTTTAAAAAAATTCATGTAATAAAAAGAAAACAAACGATTACCACATTTTTCAAAGAAATGCATGGATCTTTTTTCATAGAAATCATAACATATCCCTGAAAATCAATGAACTTCCGTAAAGTTCTATATTCTTTTATCGTAGACTGACTGTTAAGAGTTTGTGTTTCTTTGGAAGGAGGGGGGGGGGCAAAGTTATTTTGATATGGTTACTTTAATATTCTTAAATTTTAGTGAATTTGAAAAAAATTATCAGGTCTTGATCCCCTGACCTATATCCGCTTTTCTGGATCTGTCTATGGGGATATAATGCCAAATTTTAAATAAACTTTTATCTTCATAGATTCTGTTTCAGATTCTTAGTTTTAAATTCTGATGTCTGATGATAGTGTGAAAATAGGTGAAATTTTACAAAAGTTGCATGATAATCTCTTTATCATAGATTTATAAAAGAGGAAAAAAAGTGTACATGGCGAGGACAATCACCCGCTCTATGACGGAAAAGTTTTATTTTTCTAAAATTATGTTGTCGGTAATGTCATCTTTAACGTATTAGATTCATATATTGTTCTGAAAGACATATTGATTGAAAATTGTTTTTAGACTTATTAAGTCGAAAATGGGTACGTTTATATTAAATGATTCTAGCTAAAAAGATTTATTTTTGAATATGAACGGACCAGGTTTCTATTCGAAGTATTGTGTTTAAATTACGGAAAAGTATATGCATTGTGTTTTTTTAATGGCGTCTGAACCCATTCTATCTAAAAGTTGAATATTTCTTAAATGAAAAAAAGTGAGGATAGTGAGCATTGATTTATGTCGAAAAATATACAAACAAATACAAACATGTGGGCAGGGCATAAATACGGACCCCCCTGGAAAACCAGAGATGGGAACAGGTGCCTAGGAGGAGTAAACATTCCTTGTTGATCAGTCACATCCTCTGTGAGCCCTATGTATTGATCAAGTAAACGGAACATTTCGTAATCAAATTTAGTATTAAAACAGAGGTATAACAGTTGAGTGAAAGAATGAAGCAAAAAAAAACGACCCAAGATAAATTAAATGATAGGTTGAAAAACTTTATTTGTCTCAACAAATTCGTTTCTTTTTAAGCAAACTGACACACAAACAACAAGAAGATACCGTAGCATATTGTGGTTAACGCATTCAGTCTTACGCCTATCACGAGCTTTGGAAAAAATTCGAATAGTTTGTGAAGCCCTTTTTCCGTTTTACATACCTTTAAAACATAAGTAAAAATATATTACGTGTTTTTATCAATAAGTTATTTAATGACATAAACTTGAGACAGTGTCTTTGGATTATACTCCCCCTATATACGCCTTCATTCTTCAAGAAGTATTCTACTCAAATCAAACATAGCATTTCTGTATCAATCGTGACAAAACGCAAACCAAGTATCGCACAAACAACAGCAATGATAGCACATTTCATCAAATTCTATATTTACTTATTTCTGTGTAACTTCTTTCGACTGATCAATGTTTCTCTTGTGATAATAAATGCCAATACTTTTTCAAAACTGTTTAAATCGCGATAATTTTATCAAAAAACAATAAATCTTAATTTCATGCAAATCACAAAAAAGATCCGATAAAAGTATAGCCATCGCAAAAATATGTTGCAAGCATAGTATAGCATTCACTCAAAACAAGAATAGCCCAATTTCTCTAAAAAGCGTAATTTATAGAAATCAGATGATGTTTCGTGGGTGAATTAAGGCGAAAACTAGGATACAATAACTTTTACAACAGAATATAGTTTGAAAAAATTAAGAACAATTGAAATAATTCAAAATGAGCGAAAATCACATTTAAACTTAGTAAATGAGAATTGGTATCGAGTTTCTAACATGTTTCAACGTAAAAATTTTCTCAAATAAATTTACATTGATTCTATAAAGGTTTAATAAGTTTTCTATATTTCTTAAAATTACTTTTACCAATATTTTGCCTGCAGAATTTTCTTTTTTACCCATAATGCATCAGAGTACCCAAAGCAATATAGCAAGTGATCCAAATCAAGTAGATTTTCGATTAGCACTTTGTATTCAGTGTTTATAGTGGATCTGAAATAACTAGCATTAGTGAATTCTAAGCGTTTTCAGCATATTTCGGCATTTTAAATGCATTCAAAACGTACTCTTGGTTACAACTTCCTTAAAGATATGTTATAAACAATTCCTTTAAAGTATAAGTGGCAACAATGTGTAATGTTCTTGTGAGAATCGTTTGTTTGTTTTTCCTTGTTTTTATTAAGGCTCAGTAAAGATTTAAAGTAGCTGAAAATCTCAAATTTCAAAGTTTTCTGGCTGTTACCATAGCAACTGAGACACATTGCAACAAAACTTTATTTGATATATGTTTCTTGTGTCAAGTACTAAGAATGAATGAATTTTCATCAAAATAGGTGTACGTGCGGGGCAACGAAGTTTAAGTGGTTACAGAGAATGGCTCTTAAATATTTGAAACTGAAATATGATTTTGCAGAATTTCTTCCTCAGATAAGAAGCTAAGTTGGATCACGACTTGGAGAATTAAATGGTAGTTCTTCTAAAATACAATTCAAACCAGAGGCGCTGTGAGTCCTGAGCTCACTAAGTGATATCAACTGCCTCCCATATGGTTAACTTAAGGTGGCAAAATCCATGTTTTGCTCTGGGCGACCCGAAATAATTTCAGATCAAAAAGTAAAACAGATGGTGCAAAATTTCATTATGTAGTGAAGAATATATAAAAATGTCATCAAATTTTATTCAGTGATGTCAGAGGAGTTGCAGATAAGAGATGGGTACCCTTAAATATTATAGAAAGAAGGTCGTGTGTATGTTTTGCCGTAGGAAAAAGTAAAGTACGATGTGCACAATAGCAATATGTAACAAAGATTCTGTGAAAGTTTCATTAAATTTCAATCAGTGGCACAAGAGAATTTGCGGATAAGAGATGAGTACTCCAAAGCTTAACAGATGGAGGTACAGAAAGACGGTCATCCTGATCACTATATACCCCCTCCTACTGCATTTCAAGCGGGGGGGTATAATAGATAGCTTTTTATTATCCCTCAATCGAATAAATAGAGATTTTATCCATCTTTTTTTAAGTCTTGAAAATTTCGTTTTCTTATTTGGTCTTTTTTCATACTCGATGTCAGACTTCTTAAAAATAATCTAACGATGGGGAATATTGTCTATGTATATTTTAAATGACCTTCCTACATTGCTAACATGGACAACTATAAAAATAACACAGTTATATTCAGCTTAAAATCTTTGCTTTTCAAGCTTCAACTTTAAAATCAATGGTTATATTATATACATTTACCAGTATCTTAAAAGAGGTTTTTGTAGTAGATTCTTCTACAAGCATCTTGACGGAGGCTGTTTATCAAAGTGGCGACAGAGTATTCGTTGGAGAAAATGCTACTCTTCTTTGTATTTTTTCTGGAAAGTAAGCATTTTCTCTTAATAATTTTTTCACTTCTTGTTTCCCAAAATTTTGCTGGATGAATTAAAAATTATATATAACATCAGAGAATTTGGAATTTTTTTTTATAAAGTATTTATTGTTGTTGTTAATAGCCCTGCTCCAAAAATAGAATGGCAGAACAAAAACGGAATCTACATAACAACAAACGACAAATACATCGTGGGTCAGTATGGACGACGGCTTCAAATCATAAACGTAACATTTGCTGATGAGGGTTTCTATGAATGTAAAACCAACAACAATCTAATTCAAAATCCATTTCTCAATGTCACATGTACGTAGAAGTTGCTTCTCCGAAGTTTTTAAATATTTTTTTTTTGCCGATTATATATTTTTTATCCATAATTTATTTTTCAAAAGAACAACGTAACTAATTTTTTCTTTTCGTTTTTGCAATTAGCCCCTCCGCTTTTTCCTGATGTCGGTAAGCGTTTCATGACAAAAATAATGCAGAATTCGACAACAGTGTCCATTGTTCTCCAATGCAACGCAATGTCCGCAACAGCCGAAATTGATCCTATTGTAATCAAATGGATGAAAAATGAAGAGATCTTAAATGAAGGTTTTTGTTTTGCTTGGAATGCATGACGAGTAATGTTTTCTAGCGTAAACATAATACAATACACTCAACCAAACGTCTAAGTGTTCACCTAACATTTTTTTTAAGTTTAAAAGGACAAAAGCATACAATAAATTATCTCTTAAATTCATTGTTAATGATGCATTTATCAGATCGATGTTGCGGAAATTTCATGAAAGTATCTCTTCTGACTTTAAAGCAAAGTTTCAAGGACATGATGTACCCTCAAAATTAAGATTCACATAAAATAATTTCTGTGATGTAAGAGCACAACTCACTCTAATTAAAGCAAGACATTCTTTCCCTATATATACCATGTACCCCTGAATAGTAGGTTGACCTATCAACTGCCACGCCAACTGTATGGATCATTCTCAACCGTTGAAATTGCGTGGAGGGGGAGGGGGGCTTTAACATTCCTTATAAAAGTTCCAAATGTGTTAAATAATATTTAGATTCAGGGATTTGACAGGGCAGTGCATGACATTTAAACTTTTTGGTCAACACTGAGGTCCGCCTTTGGCCTCTCACACTAAAGTGTTCCTCTTTAAGGATGATTCAGACTGTTTTAGATAATACTGAACTACCATGAGCACCACTTTGATGCCATTTTTGTGCCATTGAAGTTGCTGATTTAAATGTTTCTAAAGTAGCTTAGAACCATATATAACAATCTTGACCTCAGACGAAAATTTTGTCCAAAACTTTCAAATTTTGATAAGTTAGCGATAAGAATGACAGACAGCCTATAAAAAAATTTGTTAAAATGGATTTTAATAATGGTTGTTAATTTCTAAACGTAATATCAAGGACACATAATCACTAAAATAAAAGTGTTTAAAATGTGTTATTATCAACATTCCATAGGCTCTGCTTCCTTCCTCAATCATTATTTTGCCCATGTTTTGTGTTTTTTAATTTAACCAGTTATCAAAAAATTGATAATGGTTTCAAAGAAAAGCTAAAGCACGTGCCGTTAAGTACTGATTTTTTGTTTTTTAGGGACATTGGTTTTCATCCGTGATAATTTATTTTCTTTCGACAATTAATTGTTGAGAAGACTTATTGGTTATATTAATATACAAAATATCATACCACACTATCATCCAGTTTTTAAATAAATACATTTATTAGAGTAAACACTTAGAAGGTTTAAAGTGTATATGTTCAAATAATAATGATGATATCAGAATATAAAGTATCAGCATTTTGAATCACATCAGGCAATTGATAAACAAATATCAGGTTTTATTGATTCTATTCTATTCTCAACACACGCTATTACTAGCAGTGCATTGTTTTATTCTATATATCTTTTTAACAGATGTTAGATACCAGCTTTCAGGGGACAAAAAGACTCTTCATATTTACAACAAGAATTCAGACAACAGTGGTTGTTACACATGTGTGATAGAAAATAGTGAAGGAATTGCAGTAGCAAATTTTTTACTCCCTTACGGTAATATTTTTTCTCATTTACTGGATTTAAATTAAAATTATAAGTTGATGCAATATTATAGGAAAAAAATAAACTATCAGTAAAAGAACGGCATCAAGTGATTGAATGGTGCTGAATGGCAAATTCATGTAGTTTTCACTAACATTTTATTTATCTTTCGACAGTGTGTATACAGTAAACCTAATTAACTGTTCAAAGTTAAACTTTAATATTATTAAATTAAAGATCTTTATAAATGATTATATCTCAACGTTATTGATAAACTAGTTTGGCGGTTTACTCATTTGTTTGTGAACTTGTAAGAATCAGTTGAATTAAATTCCCAATGTTTTTTCATTTTCTGAGGAAGCAAGTCAAAGAGACACCATGACGCACACATGAGAAAATTGACAAACGTAGAATTTTGCATGACCCATGTAAATTTTGTTCCATTCCTAAAAGTATTATGTTTCAGAACCTAAAAATTCTATTTTAAAAGAGAAAAATAAAAGTAAAAATAATTTCAGTATGTCCCATAACGAAAATATTGCCTTACTTTTCCCTCTCTATTGTACGCGTGCGCAGAAAAGTTTGAATGTTACTATAGTTACAATGGTCTCAAGTACCCAGGAGTACCCAGGAATGAATGTAAGTAGACCAAGAATTTCGATGCAATCTTTTTAAATAGTTGTTAGAACATATTTCTCACCTTTGCCAAACCATATCCTATCTACGGAACATCAATATCATATTAAGATAACAAATTTATTGAGTTGCCTAAAAGATTTGAATCAATTCTAACTTTAACTGGTCATTTTTTAAAATTATCAAAATATCAAAAAGGCATTTCCCTAAAAATTTCAAGTCGAATGTTAACTTCCTGCCTCCTTTAGCCCTTTGCCGGATTATTGAAGCAGTAGATCAAGTTTGACGAGAGATCTTTTTGCAGGTGTGAAGCGCCCTTATGGTTGCACTGTTTGTAAGTTCAGACCTCGAATGGCCACAGAAAGAAAATGGTGACAGGGAATTTATTCTACGGAGTTTCAGACGAAAATAAAAGTGGATGTGACCGTCCTCCATCTTTGTACAGGATGTAAAATTCCTAGAAACATGAGGAAAGAGTTGGTGTTGTTAAACTTTACACATATTCTAATACAGATAGTACGAAACGGAAGTATCACTCAATTCACCGAAATCTAATTAAAATCAAACATGCGACCGTGGTAAGAAAGAGCGAAGTAAACAGAAGATTATATGCATTTTCATAAATTTGAATTTTTAAATATTTTTTCTAGATTGATCACCGTATTTTATCTGACCAGCCACCCTTCAGCCTTTTCACTGGATTCACTTAAATAACGTAACTTGCTAAGTAAAACCCTATTATATTTACTCCTAAATTTGGTATAAGAATTCTGCATAATGTGGTAATTACTTTATACATGTATACTATGGGTTCATTAAAATTTATGGGTACTAATTTTGGTGGATTAGTATAATCTCCTACAGGTTCATAGAGACGTAACTTCTTTTAGTCTTTTATACTTGCAAAAGAAAATAGGACTTCATTCGCTTAATTAATTATTTCGCAGAGGATTTTCATTCGTGTATGATAGGTAACCACAAATTCCGGGAAAATTGAGCCACCGCGAAATCTAATGATTCCACGGTGCATTCGAATCGAAACTTTCACGAACTGAACAGGGAAGATACTAGTAATGGGTGAGTCTACACTCGTAACTATCAATTTCCTAAAGAGCATTTTTTTAGTATATAACTAGCAATCTCATAAATAGCACTTCTTCCGCAAAATCTGTTCACAGTTTTCACAACTTTGTTTCCTATTCTATTTATTGTCCATATATATTTAGCACAGATGGCAAGAAACGACTTAGAGATGTAAATGTTATACCTTAGTCTTTCTGATCAAAGTACAGTATTTGAGGATTCAAGATGGAGAGCTTTGTGATCTGCCTCATTTTCCTTTGTGTCAGAGATGAAGCCCTTTACTGCAAAGGTAAAAAATTGTTTTCTTCGTGTTATAAAAACTTATTCTGACAGAAAAGTTAAACAAAAATAATATTCTGCATAGGCGTCGGAACCGGGGGGGGGCTAGGGGGGGCTTAGCCCCCCCACTTTTTTTCCAAATATATACTTAGTATAGACATTGAACATATCTTTGTAAGTTTAGCCCCCCACTTTTCACAGATACGTCTTAATATAGGTTAAAATTGGGAAAAGTGTTGGTGCTTGGGAGAAAATTTTTGGTACTGGAGTTCGAACCTAACCCCCCCACCCCCACGAAATAGGATTTTCGTGTTTGGGAAATAGACATTTCCTTTTTTTTTTTTTTTTTGCTTGTCAGGTTATTTTGGACATTATAACATTAAAGTTTGAACCGGAGTATTTTGTATCGATCTTTCATTCTACCCCATTATCCTTGTTTTGCCAACCCAAATACAACGTACTCAGGTTAGTATCAGTTTATTATACCTTTGCAGTAGTCAAATGACGATGATAATGAAAAGCTAAAAACTATGAAATCACAGATTATCGTTGGGATTAATTTTTTGTTGTATTCAAGCTATGAAAAGACCCGCGAATTTATGAAAATTTTACCCCACGAAAATATGCGATTTTACAGTTATTAATTATGTCAAATAGAATACGAAGATCTCAGTGTTTAATGCCTAATACATTTAAATAGGTATCTATGGTATAAAAATTATTCAAAGATTGCGGAAAATGATCGAGTTTCCTTCAACCCGTCAACTGGTGAAATCATCTTCAAAAATCTAGAAAAAGAGGACTTTGATGCTTATTATTGCACGGCCGAAAATAAGTTTGGAATTTCAGTCTCATTATTTTTCAAATTATCGGAAGCAGGTATAGCGATAATTATTGTTTTTAAACATGATGTCAGATCGAGAAATGATAAATGAAAAATAATTTCAGATCATTTGTTAACTTCAATATATATAAATAATCTATCTGTAATTTAATGTTCTGGACGTGTTGAATACCATATCAGTAGCATTAAGTATTATTTTATCCTTGTAAAATATTACCTCATTTATTCAACTATTCCAAGATATAGTATTAGTCTATATACTTGTCAAAATCATAACACAATGATATTTAAAAGTTCATTTTGTATTTCATTGTTGAATGATTGAGATTATTGCTACTACAAAGGTATTTCATACGGTTTAAATATTCAAAAGTGACCACCAAAATAACAAAAAGATATTATTTCTAATCTTTTGGTAGTGTTTTCGATGAAACGGAAAATTTATTTTTCAAATCATTCAATGAAAAGTCTCAAACTTGATCATAAAATATTTCCTGTTTCTATTTCTGTGCTGCGTTTGATATATGTTACATTGTATACAAACAGAACTGAAGTTGTCATAACTTAATATATTGTAGATCTTGACCAATTTTCTGAAGTATAGAACGTGCAAGAAACATGCAGGGAATGTCATCATTGCAAACTTCCCTGTCTCAATCAACCACGTTGTCAACCTAAAACGGAATGTATGACAGAATGGAAAATTGGATCTGGAACCTCAGAAAGTGTATCATACAGCGAATCTGTAACCTTGGATCGTGAAGGTAAATCTAAATCATGTACATTTAAAGTATCAATTTGAAAAATAATTTTTCCAGAAGCAACATAGCCCATCTATAATTAAATATATACAGATGTTTTTCAATTAAGAAACAATGTTTAGATTAAGATTTAATCAATTCTAATCTATTGAATTTTTTTTAAGGAAATCTTCATTTTCTAAACATCAGAAAATCTGAGGGGTATAAAAATTACACTTGTGGAATTTGGAATGAAAGAATCAATGTATTAAAAATAATCAGCAATACATATCTCCAAAGTAGTGGTAAGTGCTTTATTTTATATGATTGAATAAATCCTACAGTTTATTATCTCTCTGATTTGCTGAGATGTACAATAAAACTTCGTTATGTTCACCACCACGTGCCATTCCAGGCTTCTATCTAAGTCTACATTAAAAGAAATTTGATTTGGAGTTGGATAACCGCTCCTTACTTCTCTCATCCACAAAATTAAAAAATATTGAAATTACAATGATTGTCACGCGCTTCGTCATCTAAAACCAGTACAAACTTTATCGTGTAATCTATCGACTTCTTGTTTCTTTTTCACTTTTGTTTTAATTCATTCTGACAAATTGTCAAGATCTTTTTTTTATTTCTTCCTTTTTTGATATTTGATCTCATATTTCTTAAAATGACTAGAGACATTGTACGTTTAATAAATGTGAACAATAGAAAATTATCAATTATCATTTGGATTCAATGATAATTTTTAGATTCAAATCTTCTAAAAAAAAATGTTGTATTTATTTATATACCACTATGTATCTTACGTAACTTTTGTAGAGTCTTTTGAAGGCATCTCCCCAGAGGCAATTTATCAAAAGGGCGACAAAGCTTTCATTGGAGAAAATGCTACCCTTCTCTGTATTTTTTTTTATGGAAAGTAAGCATGTTTCCTTAAACTAATTTTTTCTAAATTTGCTATTAGCCCCTCCAATTTTTCCTGATGTCAGAAAGCGATTCATGACAAAAATACTGCAGAATTTGAAAAAAGAATCCACTGCTCTCCAATGCAACGCAATGTCAGCAACAGCCGAAATTGATCCCACTGTAATCAAATGGATGAAAAATGGAGAGATCTTGAATGAAGGTTTTTTTTTTTATTAATTTGTTTTGCTAGAAATGCATGAGGAGTAGTGTTTTCTAGCGTAAACATAATTGTTCTTATAATATATGTTCAAATAATTATAATGATATCAGAATCGATCATGGGCCCTGACTGTTCAAAAATAATGAAGTCCTAATACTTTATAGGTAAAGAAAGTGTATGCTTCTATTTAATATTTTCAAATTGTTTAAAAAATGTCAGCATACTGAATTACATCGGGCAATTGATAAGCAAATACCAAGCTTTAATGATCTATTGAAAATATATATCTACATGTAACCACACGATATTACCAGCAGTGCGTTGTTTCATTCTATTTATTTCTTTAACAGATGTTAGATACCAGCTTTCAGAGGACAAAAAGACTCTTCATATTTAAAACTTAAATTCAGACGATTATGGTTGTTTCACATGTGTGAAAGAAAATAGTGAAGTAATTGTAGTGGCAAATTTTTTACTCCCTTATGGTAATATTACAGACTGACAGACAGACAGACAGAGGGCAGACAGTTTCACCGTCAGGGGACTAATAAATCACTAATGACGATAACAAATTATTATTTGTGAAAAAAATATCGTTACACCGTCCTCGCTTTTTAATTTTCGACCGTTCTTTAACTAGTAAATAATGCGTATGAACATATGAAGCATTAAATTTTTCAACGAAAGGCGTCTTTTCTGAGTTTTTCATTCCATGAACTTCTGATAACTTTCAAATTTACGATTGATGTATACATGTAGGTCTACAGAGATAGTGAAATTGTGATAATTTGTTAACATGGTATTATTTTTCTGTTTTGCATTTGGACACAAAAAATCTAATTACGGACACTGTAATACAACAGAAAACAATTCAAAATAGGAGCAGAGCAAACACGGACCTCCGAAACATCAGAGGTGGTATCAGGTGCCATGTGAGGAGTGAGCATCCCATCCTGACCGGTCACACTCTCCGTGTGCTCCTTGTCAGCAAGGCTTAAAGTCTCTAATGTTAATAATATACCATGGGTCCCACGACAACGTCTTGAAACAAGACCTCAGGCATTGCAAGGATAAAATTGGTATTTTTGCAAGGTTTTCTAGCCATAAATTTGGGAGATATTTATAAAGAATTAAGTTTTATAAAGATAAAATATGCAAATTCCTGCAAAGTAAAGCATTTAAATATTACTAGCAAATTAAATTCTTATTTTTAAGCTGACGATTTAAGTTTGCTAATCATCGTCATATCCTCCGTTGTTGGACTTCTTTTGATATTTGCCTATTTCATTACAAGGTAAAGTGAATCATGTAAAAAAAACATAAAAATATATTAAATATATTCGTTAAACATTCAATAATTTATACATACTAACTCTTGAATACGATGGTGTAAACTTTAAGAATAATATCATTGTAGAGTATTTAAAAGAAAAGGAAATCAAGAAAAA